CTGGCCTTCCGCCGCCCTTCCGCGGGGGAAGAGCGACAACTCCTGCGATCTCGAAGGCAAGGCCCTTTTGGGAACGCCTCACGCGGGAAAGAGAGCGCTGAGGCGCGACCTCACGCGAACGGCACGGTACGAAATAGCGCTGTCAGAAATCTAGGGGCACGCTCTCCGTTGACCCCTGAACTCTCCAGCATGCCCCAGGGCGTCTGGGGGGCCCCTGAGGCCATCGTGGGATAAAGAAATGTCCGTGGTGCACCTGCTGGCAGGCCGATTGTTCACTTGGTAGGGAAACCAGCAGGTAGCAAGGGCCTTGGAGGGCCAGGTTAGCGTTTTTCGAACGAGGTTGGCCAGCAAGAGTCGCCAGGGATGGGCCGAAGGGGCAAGGATGCAAGGGTACTACCCTTGGGAACATTGCCCATCCTTACGATGCGGGTTGACTGTACCGGTACCGCTACTCCCCGGACCTCTCCCAGGGGCGCGTTCTGACCAGAATTTCGAAGCGAACCCAGCGGTGGTGACGAGGGCCTCCAAGGAGGCCCAAGAAGGCGAAAACGAGGGAAGGGTCGGTATGGGTACCTTTTGCTCCTCTGGATTTGGTGTGCTGATTGTGCGTGCGAGCGTCCGCGAAGGCCCCCCCTCTTTGTTTACGCCGCTCGTCTGGAGACGATCAGCAAGCAGCATGCAAGCTCCTGCAGAAGGCCTGCCAACCACGTGCCATACAGTCAACCCGTACACCAAGGATGCCCGATACGGATGCAGGGGCCTTGGAAGGCCATCTCGATACTTTGCGAGCGGGGCGCGGCCAGCGAACGCGGGCAAGGGTGGGCCCCAGGGGAAGGCTGTCAGGGTAGGCTGGCAGGTTGACTGGTTGGTTGACTGCACAGTCATCGCACCGACACCGGGAACGCCAGACAGGGAACAGAAGAGCCTCCTTGGCCACGGAGAGCCACGGGGCCACGAATAGGCTCCCCGACCCGGATACGAGGGGAGCGGCCCGAAAAGCAGAGAGCCCCCCCCCCCCTTGAGCCCAAGGGGCCCTTGCTTCAGCGTAAAACACTCGGCGGCGAGCCCGGGGGGGAAGCGAGAAGGGGCGGGCCCTCCCAGAAGGCTCGGAAGTCCCCCAGCCTTCTGACAAGCTTTCCAAGCCTTCTCCGAACACAGAAAACAAACCTCTCAGAAGGCCGGAGGGCTTCTGAGCCCCGCCGCCGTCTAAGAAGGCCTCCTCCTCCTCCTCACTATTTCCCCCCCTCGCTCGCCAACGACTCCCTGCAGGAGCAGCCTGCGCACTCACGCCGACGACCCCACCACGTGGGCTTCAGTCGCTTCACGCGGGAGAGTAGGAACAAGGAAAGACGGCACCACCACCACCATGGCGAGGAGATGCGAGGAGGCGAGGGGGGTCTCCCTGGCGCCGTGGTCCAGCCCCCTCGCTCGAGACACCCCCGGCCTCCAGCTCGGGGAGGCATCGTGGACCTCCTCGCTGGAGGTGGGCCCCCTCGTGGTGCTGGCTTCGCTGCTCCCCCCTCCGAGGAGGAGGGGCGCGGTGAGGCGCGACCTCGCGCATAGGCGGCGCCCGCGCGAAGGTGTCTCTGCGAGGGGGCAGCCCCCCGTGCCTGCGCCCCTCCGACCGGGAGACGACCGAGAGGAGAACTGGGCGTGCGCGCCTGCCCGAGGCTCTCCCGAGCCGGTCGCGGGCGACGATGGGTGCGAATAGCCCAGGGATTTGGAAGCGAACGGGGGGCAGCGACTGCAGAAGCCCCTGAAGTGGGGCGGGCAAGAAAGCTGGGCAGCGTGACTTACCTTCTTTGCTGGTTCGCGTGGACGTCCGAACGACCTGCGCATGGATCCTGGATCCCTGGCAGGGATCCTGAAGGGCGCCGGTGATGCACGCCTTCGGCGGGGCTCCCCGGGCGAATGCGGGCAGCGCCCTCCCCTGGGCCCTTCGCCCCTAGATCGGCGTTCGGTGGCAACTATACTGGGAGGCCTTCGCCGGAAGGATTCATAAGAAGGTGGGGTGTGGGGGGGGGGGGGGGCGGCTGCTGCGCCGGATTAGGCCGCGGAGGAAGCCCGATCTAGCCGGACTGAGCGGGATATAGCCAGACCGCACGCGGTGGAGCCGGACTTGGGACCAGGGCAAAGACAGAACTTGACCTCCGCAGGAGTTGCATCCGAAGCGTCGCCTCCGAACCAGCCGCGCGCCGCGAGAGCGGCCTGCGCCGAACCCGCCCAGGGGGGGGGGCCTCCGGCAAGAGCGGCGGCCCCCGCAGGGAGGCCCGACGCGACGCGCCGCGGCCCGCCGCGAGCGCTCCGTGCTCGCGGGGGGGGGCTGCCCGGAGGCCGAGCCTGCGCTTGTCGAGCCCCTGGAGGCCTGCGCCGGAGCCAGGAGCAGGACTCAGAGGAGGACACGGTACCGATACCGCCACCCTGCGCCCGCGTTCCCCTTTTTGGGGGGCCTTCTCGGAGACCCTCGTTGCCGCCTCTGGATTCGCCCTCGAAATTATGGTGAGAAAGCGCCCCTGGAGAGGTCCGGGGAGCAGCGGCACCAGTACCTCTTGGTCTCCCCAGGGACAAGCTGGGACCCGGACAGGATGGGATGCCGAGAACGTGCCTGGCGCGCGCGCGCGGCAGCGTGCCCTCAGGGCTCGGCCTAGGAGGTGCTCGGCCCGTCTCGGCAGGCTCGGCGCCCGTCGGGACCCCGGCTTGGGCCTCTGCGTGCCCATCGCTCGCCAGCCATCTCCTGCAAGTTGCCACTTCCGGGACAAAGTGGGACCTGGATAAGCCGGGGTCTCTGCGATCCGGAGGTTCTGGAGGAGGCATCAAGCGCCCCGGCCGCTCCAGCCTGGGAGCGTCTCGGCACGCTCTGGCAGGATCTGCCCCAGTCCTGGGCTCGCCCGATTTCAGGATGGAAGGCTGGCCCCCTGTCGGGGAAATGGCCCGCAGGTGTGGCATCTGGGCATGTCGTGGGGCCGTCGGGGGGAGGAAGAGGGAGAGAAGAAGGAGGAGAAGGCGGCGGCGGAGGAGGAGAGAGAGGAGAAGGAAGAGGAGGAGGATGAAGGCAAAGAGGCCTCTTAAAGATCCTTTTGGCAATCTGTGCTCGCATTTGGAAGCCCGAAATGGGTACGGAACAATGGACACGATGCCCAACAACGAATCTTGTCCAAAACCAACAGCGGCCTTTGTTGGGCGGGCGGCTTTGTGTCTTCAGTGGACAACGTCCGCGGCGGCGCGGACAGCGAATCCTGTTCAGAATGAACAGGAACTGCTGTTGGTCTTTGTACCCATTCTTTCCTCGGGGGCGGCCAAAAGGGGGGCGTCCAAGAGGGGGGTGCGCAAATCATGGCCGGTGACCGGTGGCACGTGCGCGGCCCAAGGGAGGCAGGGGCCAGGGACGGAATGAAATAAGAAGAGGCGCCATGAAATCCTGGGAGACATCATGGCCCACGCCATGATGTCCACCCCCCCCCCTTGGCCATCACCCCACCCCCTTTGCCGCCACCGATGTCCGTACCCGTGTCGATCGTCCCGATCCCCCAGGGGCCGCCTCAGTGCCGGGCCTGCCCTCATGGCGCCCCTCGGAGAGGGGGAGTGGTCCGCGGGCGGTGACACCAGAAGCCGGCTCGGGGCGAGCGGCGGCGGAAGCGCCGCCCAAGAGGGGGGTGTCCAAGAGGGGAGGTGCAAATCATGACCGGCGGCATGTGCGCGGCCCAGCGGGGGGGCCAGGGACGTAGTGAAACAAGAAGAGGCGCCATGAAATCTGGGGAAATATCATCGCCCCCGCCATGATATTCACCCCCCCTAGTCATCACCCCCTTCTTTTCCGCCCCCGATCGTGGGTTGAGCCTGGCCGCTGGGGCCGGTCACCCTCCAGTGAGGGGCAGGGCCTTCCCTCCCAACACCCGTGCGTGCGGCTCCCTGCCCCGCGCACGGCTCCTGGGGCCCAGGGCATGGCGCTGCCAGCGCAGCGGCACGACGAGGGGCCTGGGAGTGTGCACGGATCGCGCACGGGCGCCGCCCCAAGTCGGGGATCTGCTGACCCGGGTGAGTCCAGACCCGGGCCAGTCAGGCCTTGCAGAACCCTGCAAGGTCCTGCACCCAAGCTTGGGCTAATGCGAAGAATCCTGCAAGATCCTGCAGGATCCTGCACCCAATCCCGGGTCAATGCGACCCTGGCCCTGCAGGATCTGGCAAGATCGGGCGCTCTGGCTGACCCCCGTTTGCATTGACCCCCGTCTCTTGAGCCCCGACTTGGTGTCGGCCGCCGCACTCCGGACTTCAAAATAAAAGGGTAGTGGCCTGATCTGGGGGGAGTCTGATTTTAGCTGTCGTCGAGGCTCCAGTGGGCTCTAAAACTGCTCGCCTGGGAGGGTTGCGACCCCTTCCCTTGGACTCTCCGAAGCAGCAGACACGAAGCAGGCGCCCGGGCCCGTGTCGAGCGCGGGCGGCGGCCGCGGGGGAGAGCCCAAGGGGCGGCAGGGCCCCAGACCGCCGACGCGCCGTGCTGCGTTCTGTCGCGGCGCGGGCCCCGAGCTGGATCCCTCGATGACGACGACGGCGACGGCGACGGCGACGGCGACGGCGGCGACGACGAAGGTGACGACGACGACGACGACGACGGTGGCGACGCCGACGACGACGGAGGTGACGCCCACGACGACGACGACGACGACGACGACGACGACGACGACGACGGCGACGGCGACGGCGGCGGCGGCGGTGGCGGCGGCGACGACGACGGCGACGGCGGCGACGACGAGGACGACGATGGCGGCGGCGGCGACGACGACGAGAGAGGGCAGAAACACACAAGTTCTTCCCACGACGTGGCGACGCCTCCCCCATTACAAAGTTGACGCCCAGACTGGCGGCGCAACTTTTGTTCTTGCCCCCGCGGTCCGCGCTGCGCGCGCCCGTCAGCCTTGAACTGCGGGGGACGGGGGGGTTGGATAAAAGCTCGCGCTTAATTTCGAGGAGGGTCGTAAGGCGAGGCCAGGACGAGGATGAACTCAGGCGAGGATAAATCGAGAACCTCTGAGATCCAACGGCTCCGGAGGATGCATCGGGCGTCGCGGCCTCCGTCGGAGGCTGCAGCGGACGCATCGGGCGTCTCGGGACGTGCTGGAACGCTCTGAGAGCGTGCCCGCGCGCTCTGGGAGCGAATTTCTCCTCGTCCCAGCCCCATCCGACGAGCGCTCTCGACCCCGCCCCCAGGACCTCGCCACCGCTGGCGCGTCCACTCTCCGTGCCTTCCTTCGGCTCCGTGCGCCTGTTTGCATCGCAAGACGGCTTGGAATGGTCACCGATGGTCCTCGCCGAGAACCCTGCTGCTCCCATCGTACTTAAAGACCAAACCTCCGAAATCATTTCGAGCACCCAGAAAAATATCGAAACGGTGTCGAACGAGTATCGCCTCCCAGAGCCCGACGCGCGAACATCCTCCAGTTTCGGCGCTTCTGGTGCGCGAAACTCTTTCTGGCGATCCAGGCTAAAGAAGGTCGAAACACCGTATAGGGGAACGAACAATGACATACGCATGAAAACTCGGAGGTCCGCGCGCATTGCGCTGGGGCCCCCTGCCGGCGCCTCCGGCGCCGCCCCTGGCGCGCTCCGCGCGCCGAGGAGGGCGGTCCAGCGCGGATCCGAGCAAGCCGTGCGGACCTCCGAGTTTTTACGTTGATGTCATTCTTCGCTCCCCGAAGCTGCCATGACGACCGGCTTTCCCAGCAAGGCACTCGCTGCGCGCCGCAAACACCGCTTGCGCTTGAGCGCTTACACCTTATGTCAGAATGCCATGTAGCTTACATCTGTTGTCATTCACCTATTCCCGTAGCCTATTTTACGGCCACTTGGAGATGATTCAACATACCAGCACCTCTCCATATTACCTCGCAGGCCTGGAGGTTGACACCAACACCAATATCGGCGGTGTGCCTCCATCGTGGGGAACAAGATCCCGATCTCGGTGATGGTGGTAATACTCTGGCTTCCAAGGTGGCCGAAAGATTGCCACCGACACCGAAATCTAGGATCCTCTTCCCCCTGTGGAGGCAACCCCCTGTGTTGGTGTTGGTGCCCATCTCCAGGCCTCCGAGTACCTTCGCTCTAACCGAAGCACAGGCCGAGACCAGTGCACACGCCCGAGCGATGCCAGGGGACCGGCCCTTCGTCGCGCGCGGCGCTCCCCCGGCGGGATTCCCCCGGGGGCACGGGGCGGGCCCGCGCCGGAGGGCACGGGGAGGAGACGGGGAGCAGGAGAGCCAGGCCTCGGGACAGGAATATACATGTATATGTGAATATATTCATATATATATATATATATACACATATGCACACATATACACAGATGTATGTGTATATATATATATAAGGATTTACATATGCATATATATATATATATATATATATACATTTACATGTGTATATATAATTGTAAAACTATATCATATAGTTATACACATCTATACACATATATATATATACACTCAAGCCGTGGTCATCGCTCCACACCTCCCCCCGCCCCACCCAAGGTTCCAAGGTGGCGGCGAGCCCGACGAGCTGCACACTTCGGCCGCAGTCTCCTCCGCGCGTGCCAGCCTCGAGCTCTGGGGAGAGGGGGGAGTGTCCACTCATGGTTTCCCCCCCTCTGCCGTCGCGCGGGGTCGGCGGGGCCGGCGGGGGCACCCTGGGCGGACAGAGCCTGTCGCAGAGGGGGCTCCCCCCCCCACAGAGAGCAAGCCCGAGAGGCCGCGCCACCTCGCCACAGCGATGAGCACGGCCAGACCCAGGACAGAAGGAGCCCCTCAGAGAGCATGAGACCCTCCGCTGGTCAAACTGAAGATCATTCGAGGGTACACTCCCCAGGAGGCACAACAGCGTCCAGCAAGCACGAAGGACATTAAGGGCACCCTTCCCGAAGCGACTTCGATCTTACACCGCGCTCCGACCGTAGTGACCCCATCCCTTCCTCCATCCCCTCCCCGGCCCTCCCGGCTCAGCCTCCTGGGCGCAATCCCGTGGATACACGGTCGGATACGTCCCGCGCGGAGCGTCCGCAAAGAAGCGCCCCGCATCCACGGGGTCGCGGCCCACAGGGGCCCAGCCCGCGAGGCCGCGGATACGGACATGCTTCCCGCCCGCGATGTCACTCGAGCACCTCGGCTTTACGTATGGGCAGTGAGGGTCGGTTCGCAACATAGCCTCCCCTCTCGGCAGTCAGCCGGCACAGGGCAACGCCAACAGCTGAGGCGTCTTGGACAAGCGAAGGTCCCTCGGCTGGGGGCAATGGCAACCACAGAATCAAACACAGGGCCTGCAACGGCAATGCCTGTCGTGGAGAAACCAGAAAGTACCGATACTGCTACTCCCCGGACCTCTCCCGGAGCGCGTTCTGACAAGGATCTCGAGGCGAATCCGGCGGTGGCGACGAGGGCCCCCCAGGAGGCCCAGCAGAAAGCGAAAACGGGCGGAGGGCAGTGTTTGGTACGGGGTACACCTCTTCCCCCCCCCCGGTTCTGGCTCGCATTGCGCCACCGCCCCGATCGCCCAGCACGCTGTCGAGCATCTGGCTCCCCGTGGGGGCCAGGGACGTGGGCTTGGGCAGCAGCGGCTGGCCGATGTCGGGCAGGTTCGGGGTGCTCTGCGACCTCAGCGGCCCGAGCGGGCCGAGCGCCCCTCCTCTGGGCGCCCCGGTGACCCCGCGCCCTGCAACTCTGTGCGAGCCGGGCAGCGCCGCCGAAGGGTGCCACCGCCTCCTCCTCCTCCTCCTCCTCCTCCTCCTCCTCCTCCTCCTCCTCCTCCTCCTCCTCCTCCTCGCAAGGAAATCGCGGGGGCCGAAGAACTCTGCAGTGGACCCGTCTGTCAAGGGTGCGCGGTGAGGATGTCAAGGGTCGGGCGCCCATGGCGAGGCTCTTCGAGCGGGGCTCGCCGTCGGAGGTGGTTGGAGATGGGCCGAAGAGGACCGAAGAGGCAAGGGTGCAAGGATACCCTGGGGAAGTCGGTCATCCTGACCATCAGGGTTGACTGTCAGATCCTGGAGTCGCAATGTGCCGCAACGGGCTCTCGGGCCCCGGGACCCTCGCGGATCGCTCCCGCTCGAAGGATGCGGCAGAAAAAGAGGGGGTCCGGGGCTCTGGTGACGGTGCTTTGCGGTGTGGCGTGCTGTTCGTGCTGCCCGACCTCCGCGGGGAGGGAGGGTCGAGGACAGACGAGGCCTCGAACCTCCTCGGGAGTGTCTGGGGGGCTCTGCCTGGGTCCAGGGAGAGCCGTTCCCTCTCGGAGGCGGCGACTCCCCTGGTCCCTCCCGCCGCCGCGGGCCGCTCCTCCGCGGCGCTTCCGCGGGCAGCCCGGCGCTGCGTGGGGGGGTCCGAACGTGCAGGAGGAGGAGGAGGAGGAGGAGGAGGAGGAGGAGGAGGAGGAGGAGGAGGGGGGGGAGGAGGAGGGGGAGAAGGAGGAGGGGGCAAGTGTCGGAGCTCCGAGGCTCGAGGGCCCCCTCGGCGTCGAGGTCAGAGCTCTTTTTCGGGGGCGCGTGGGTGGCCCGTGCTGGGCCGGCGGTCCGTCTCGGCGTTCACGCGCGTTCTTCCTCGGAGTTTGAGCCTGCGATGCGTTGCACCGCATCGCGATGATGAGGCTGCTGAGGAGGGTGATGCTGCCGATGATGGTGGTGGTGAGGATGGTGATGATGGTGATGATGGTGATGATGATGGTGGTGACGGAGAGCGTGGCGATGATGTCGATGATAACGCTGGGTGTGATAAAGATAAGGATGACGATGACCAAAGCAATGAAGCCGACGATGCAGATGTCGCCGCCAAGTGGGAGCGGGTGCTCTCTCTTTTTGTTTCTCTCTCTCTCTCTCTCTCGCTCGCACTTTGCATACGCAAAACGGACGGGGGAAATGGTGAGGGCAGTGGTTGCGCGCTTTTGTGTTTCTGTCTCTCTCTCTATATATATAGATATATGTCGTTCTCTCCTTCCCTTTCTCACTCAACACACCATACACAGTGGGTATTGGGAGGGAGCACTGGAACCCATCACGCCATCCACGCAAAGCGCAGAGGTGGAAACTGAAGGAGGAAGTGGTTTCTCTCTTTCCCCCCTCCCTTTCCTTTTGTTTACGCACACACGACAGAGAGCGAACAATGAAGGGGGAGCTGGCCGCTATCTCATGGGAGGGGGTTGTGACTGCTCTCTTACACTCTTACACTCCCACGCGCACGGACGACACAGTGGGCAATGGGAGGAGAAGCGGCTACCCTCGCATCCTCAACGCGCACGGGCGGGGGAGGAAGTAGACAGGGACGAGTGGTTCCTCATTCTCTCTCTCTCTCTCTTTCTCTCTATCGCTCTCTCTATCCCTGCCTCCCTCTCCATGTATCTGTACAGATGTACGGATTTGTTTGTAGATGAGTAGGTTAAGTAGATCGGTGAGAAGGCCTTCTCCGAAGGCTCGGAAGTCCCCTGGCCTTCTGAAACAAAAGTGTTCTACGTTTCCCCCAGGCACAAGCAAAAACTTCTCAGAGGGCGCGAGGCGGTTTCCGAGAAGTCCCCGCCGCGTTCTGAGATGGCCTTCTCCTTCTCGCCTCTTCCACTCGTTCGCCGCCGACGTCCGTCGCGTCTCCGTCGGTTCGGAGCGGCTGCCGTCCTCCTCCTCCTCCTCCTCCTCCTCTTCCTCCTCGTCCTCCTCCTCCTCCTCCTCCTCCTCCTCCTCTCCTCTCCTCCTCCTCCTCTCCTCCTCCTCCTCCTCCTCCTCCTCCCTCCTCCTCCTCCTCCCTCCTCCTCCTCCTCCTCCTCCTCCAATTATTCCTCCTCCTCCTCCTCCTGTTCCTCTCGCTGGTCTGAGCGGGGCCCCGCTCCGCCACTGGGGGGCCCGGGCCGCTGCCCCCCCCCCGCGGGTGGGGCGCGAGCGGGGCCGTGGCATGGGGCGCCGCTGGGCGCGCGGCTGCGTCGGCCTACCGGCGGCGTCCTTGCTGCCGTGGCCGTAGATGTCGTTCAGTTTCTTCCGCCGCTCCTGGCGGCACGCACACGAAGAGGAGGAGGAACAGGAGGAGGAGGAGCAGCAGGAGCAGGAGGAAACCCCAGTGGCTGCTCTCGCATGCGTCCCCCACACACATGTCGGCACACTCTTCACACGCTTCGTGGCCCCATAGGGAGCTCCACCGAAGGCCCCAGTGCCACCGCCCGCATGCGTCCCCCACACCCACTATGTCAAACCACTCATACGTTTCGAGGACCCATAGGGAGCTCCACCGAAGCCATGGTGCCACCGCCCGCGTGCGTCATCCACGCACATTCCGGCGCGCCCCTCACGCGTTTCGTGGCCCCATAACGAGGAGGAGGAGGAGAAGGAGGAGGAGGAAGAGGAGGAGGAGGAGGAGGAGGAGGACTAGGAGGAGGAGGAGGAGGAGGAGGAGGAGGAGGAGGAGGAGGAGGAGGAGGAGGAGGAGGAGGAGGAGGAGGAGGAGAGGAGGAGGGGGAGGAGGAGAAGGAGGAGGAGGGAGGAGGAGAGGAGGAGGAGACGGAGGAGGAGGAGGGAGGAGGAGGAGGGAGGAGGAGGAGGAGGAGGAAGGAGGAGGAGGAAGGAGGAGGAGGAGGAGGAGGAGGAAGGGGCGAAGAGGGGGCGAGAGGGGCGCGCGCCCGCGCGCGCGCCCCGCCCGCCTCCCCCCCCCCGAGGGTGGCGTGTTTTTTTGGTGTGTTGCATCTTTGGGCGATCGTCAGAACAATAGCTCCTGCACGTAGCCGACGCGCGACGGAAGGGCCCGAGGGGCCGAAAAAGAGCGAAGGACGGACCCAAGAACCACAGACAACGAGCGGAGGGACACGACCGCAAAAACGAGGCCACGAAACAGCGAGGGCCCGAAACTACAAAGTGATGCTGAGAAAACTGGAGGGGATTGGTAGCCCCCATCCTGGCTCCTCGGAGGTCTTTGCCTCACCTCCCCAAGCACAGCCGCAAGCCTAAACAACTCTCCCCCCAGGCGGCAGCAGAGCTCTGTCCCTCTTTGCGAGCCCGGGCGGGGGAGAAAGGCCAATCAGAGCTGCATAAGGCTTCCCAATCGCAAGCGGCACGGGTGTTTGCTTCCATTGCGCTTCAATGCTAGGGAAGCCTCGCACTCAGACAGCCTCACGGACGGGAAAGGTTCAAGATGTCGCCCCAAGAGAGAGCGGGCAGAGAAAACATCCAAGCACGCAACCAAAGAGAGAGAGAGAGAAGCTGGCCTAGTCTCTTCTCTCTTGGCGAGCCTGGGCAACAAACAATTAAGCGAGCAAAGGCAAGGATTTCACAAGCCAAGCGGCACGGGTGCTTGGTTCCATTGCGCCTCAATGCTGGTGAAATCCTAACAGCCAGGCAGCATCCACGGGCTGGAGAAGATTACTGAAGGAGGTGGCCCACAGTACGCAACACAGAGAGACTAAGGTTGCCTCTGCATCGCTTGGCGAGCCTGTGCTAATGATGTAGTAACACGGCACAACATAAACAAATAGTGGCCTAAACTTGCCATGGCGCCGGGTTTGGTGCCAGGTATTCAAGAGACACCCGCATCTCGTTGGATAAGCACGCAAGATATCCCACCCCTCCTTACCCACCCCCGATCTAATCACCAGGCTGCAGCAAAGGCTGCAGAAGCCAAACTGGGTCGGCAAATGGCCTGGCAGTTGAAAATGTCATGGGGTTTGGGAAAGCATGAATGACACTAGCACAATCAACTGCACCAACATATCCGACTGGGCACTTGGTGCGTGGATCTCGCCCGTCGCACATGAGCCTTAGGCGCGACAGTGTGCCCCTGGCCCGAGGGAGCCCAAAACAATTCCTAAGCAGTTATTGGACATTGCTTCTAGAGCAAAGTCCACAGCGGCGGCAGGAAATAATGTCCTGGAGCCTTCGAAGACAGTGTCCCCCTCCAGCAGGCGAGGGACGTAGGGGACGCAAGAGGTAGCTGTTAGATACAAAACTATCCCGGCAAAGCAACCGAACAGCGACGTGTAGGAGCATATCAGGAAGCATTCCCCTTAAGATTCAAATGAGAAATTCTGCTGTTCTCGCAGTCGTAGTCGCATTCGCGATGACAGTCGCAGCGGCAACGGCAGTCGAAGTCACAGCCTCAGCCTCAGCCTGCCTCAGCCTCAGCCTCAGCCTGCCTCAGCCTCAGCCTGCCTCAGCCTCAGCCTCAGCCTGCTTCAGCCTCAGCCTCAGTCTGCCTTCAGCCTCGGCCTCAGCCTCAGCCTGCCTCAGCCTCAGCCTGCATCAGCCTCAGCCTCAGCCTCAGCCTGCCTCAGCATCAGCCTGCCTCAGCCTCAGCCTCAGCCTGCCTCAGCCTCAGCCTCAGCCTGCTTCAGCCTCAGCCTCAGTCTGCCTTCAGCCTCGGCCTCAGCCTCAGCCTGCCTCCTCAGCCTCAGCCTGCCTCAGCCTCAGCATCAGCCTGCCTCAGCATTCAAAATGTGGCCCGGGAATGGAGTTCTGGGAACTCGAAGAACACGAAGTGGCCTACAGTTGGCTCCGGGCATTCAAAATGTGGCCCAGGAATGGAGTTCTGGGAACTCGAAGAACACGAAGTGGCCTACAGTTGGGTCCGGGCATTCAAAATGTGGCCCGGGAATGGAGTTTTGGGAACTCGAAGAACACGAAGTGGCCTACAGTTGGCTCCGGGCATTCAAAATGTGGCTCGGGAATGGAGTTCTGGGAACTCGAAGAACACGAAGTGGCCTACAGTTGGCTCCGGGCATTCAGAATGTGGCCCGGGAATGGAGTTCTGGGACCTCGAAGACCACGAAGTGTACCCGTCCGGCATCTGCCCAGACCCCCCTGGGGCGTCATGATGCTCTCCTTTGAGCCTACTAGAAACCTATCAGTCTTTGCTGTTAGGTAAATAGCACAGCAATGCACACATCTCAAGCGCCCGATGGAGGGGTCCCAGAAATGCTCACGCATAGCTCCAGCAACAGATTCCAACAAATGAAGGGAGGGGAATGCTGGTGTCTGGGTCTCCTCAGTGTCGGCAGCCCAAACGTTCTTGGGAACTTTCTTGAGAATACATGCAATGCAGTGCCCGATGTGGCATCCTAGATGTCTGACATGGGTACCAAAACGTTTGGTACGATTCTGCTGCACAGTGTCATGGAGATGTAAGTCAGCACCTAGCTTGGCCAATGAGTCTGCCTGACGATTACCAGCATCGTGCATGTCACCACGATCGCCCTTGCGTACTTTGGTGGCTCGAATTGGCGGATCGCCTATATCAGCCGCTAAGCGGTGTATTTGGGCCCATAGGGAGCAATGCTTAGCCCAACCGTGGGTAGAGGCTTCATAGCCGAGGGCCCAAACATCAGCCACACATTGGCAGTTTGTAACAAACTCATACTGGACAGACGGGGCAGCATGGGTGAGGTAAAACAGGAGAGCGTAAAGCTCGGCCCCTGGAGCGTCCTGAATAAAGTCCGGCAAAGCCCCATATTCTGCAGCGTTCAACCTAGGAGAGTCGCGCGCAACAGGCTCACCAAAGACGTTGCGGCGCCTCGGAGCGACCGCGCAGACGCCCCATCCACATCGGAGCGTGAGAGGTGACGGCCCAAACTTCCCCGAGCCGTCACCATATGCGGGCGACGAGGAGAGAGGGCCATCAACACGGCGCACTCCTAGACAGGGTCGGGGAACGGTGGTGAAACAGGAAAACTATAACGCGGGGCACGAACGAGTGCTGCGGCCCAGACACCCAGACAGGGCTATCCCGGTGCTGGCCGAGAGAACGCGCGAAGACCTGAGACGGACCGAACCAGCGGCGGAAATCACTGAGAGCGTCACGTTCATATAAGGTGTGAGAAAAAACAGGGTCCGCTGGGACCAGCTGGCACCTGGGGCCACTAGGCTTGAAATAGATGCCACCAGCCAAGAAAGCCCCCCGGGCTCGCTGTTGCAGCGTGCCGATCCTTCAGTCTTCTTGGACAGACGGGAGCGAAGCGGAGGAAGGAAAGAGGGGTCCGACAAATGACCGAAAGATGGGTGACGGTCAGAGGCTTGCTTCCATGCCCAAACGCAAGCATCGCGGGTCACTAGAGAAACCAAGTCACGCGGTGTAGTAGTCGGAATCAACGGGTCCGTCCCAAGAGAATTCTGCTATTGGGTTGGGGTAACAACTGACCACCCAATCCTGAGTAGGGTAGCAACCTGTATCTTGCCTGGCCCTTGTAGGTCTGTCCAGGGGGGGGGTCGCATGAAACGGCATCACGAGCACGAGGAAGGGCTGCATCAAGAATACCTCCGGGTAGGACACGGTTCCGCCGAGAGACGGCCCACATGCGCACTACCTCTGCATTGGCGTCCAAGGCTGGGCCAGCAACGCCCCGTAACGCGAGGTCCATAGTCACAGATCTGCGCCTACCTGTGTCTATAGCCCTGCATGGTAGATGGTCCTCATCGGCTGGGCCTGGCACGTGCTGATACCAACCACATCAATACCATTGGTCATAGTAGGGCGTATCTTCGTATGAACAGTGCCAGCCGCCCTGGAACCTCCCCTCTTGAAGCGCAGTGACGGCGGGCCTTGGCCATAGCTGTTTTTAGCCTGGCGTGCGGAACGGTCCGACTCCGAGCGCCATGCCACGGCATGGTCTTCGGCCCTTCCAAGTGGCCCAGAAATCTAGAAAATGACCCCGCGGAAAAACAAAACATCTGAAGTGATTATACATTCGATGTCGAGTCGGTGATTTTGGGGGCCGCGAAAAACCACTTTGGGGCGTCGTCACGCCATGCTATGTCAGGCTACGCGTCCGCATGTCCGCGCTTCCGCGCTTGGGCTCTTTTAATACATGCTGCTTTCGCTGAAACGCTGGCCTCATGTTCGGACTACCGCTCGTTCCGAATCGTGCTCCCGCTGCAGCGCTGGCCTCATTTCCGCGCTTCCGCTCGTTCCGAATCGTGCTCCCGCTGCAGCGCTGGCACCACTATTTCCAGCGCCCTGCCACGGCATGGTTTTAGGTCCTTCCAAAGAAGCCCCAAAATCTAGAAGATGC